CTCTGGCTCATTCCCCTCCTTCAAACACCTTACCCTCTACCATCCCTCCAATCTTTCACTCAAAATTCTCCTGATTTATCGTCCCCTTAAACCCTCCCCCACCTTCATCTCTGAGATCTCCACCCTCCTAGCCTCCCTCTGCCTCTGTTCTGAACGCCTCCTCATCCTAGGCGACTTAAACCTGCACTTCACCCCCTCCTGCTCTATCTCCACCAACTTCTCCTCTCTCCTTTCCTTCCATAACCTCTCCCCCTCCACATCGACCCTGCCACCAACATTCATGGCCACCCTCTCGACCTTGTGATTACCCGGAGCCTCAGTGTCTCGGAACCCACAATCACCGATAAAGCCATCTCAGATCATCATTTCGTCTCCCATAACATCTCAATCCCTCTCACCACCATCACACACCTCAGCTCCATATCCTACTGCCCCAGGAAAAGAATTTCCCTGCACTCCCTCTCCACTGCCCTGGAGTTGTCTGAACTCCTCCCCCTCTGGCCTACCTCCAGCCCTGACTTATTCTCCTCAGTCACTCTCCTCCACAACTCGCTCTCCACCATTCTCTATGACCTTGCCCCCCTCATCTCCCGGACCACATCCTGCTCATGAAACTCACCCTGGTACACCAGCCACCTCTGCTCACTCAAGGGTCAGGTGCGTGCCACTGAGCACACCTGGCTCAAATCCAATTTAACGGTCCACCAGCAGATCTGGCTGGACCCCATAAAAACTTACCACTCCACCCTCGCCTCCACTAAATTGTCTTTCTATTCCAAGGTAATCTTGGAGGCCAAGAATAACCCCAGGCTTCTCTTCTCCACTACCAATCGGCTCATCCATCCATCTTCTCACACCTCGCCCATCCTCTCCTCGAATTCCAACTAGATGCTGGATTTCCTCGAGACTAAAATCGAGGCGATCCGTTCAGCCGCCTTTGGCCTCCTAACCACCATCCCCTCCCCAACTCTCCCTCACACTCCAGCTCCTACACATCTCTCCCTCCACATCTTCGAACCTGTCTTCCCCTCCTCTCTCAACACTACTATAACCCGCATGAAGCCCACCACATGCTCCCTCAACCTCATTCCTATCCCTCTTCTTACCTCCCAACTCCATCTCCTCAATTGTTCTAAGTGATCCTGTGTTAAGAGAAGAGAAATCAACCAGTATTTTCACTCCTGTTTGTTACCCCCACAGCTTCCTGCTGGAAGGTCCATGTGTGGATGTTGGGTGAGAGCAGATTTGAACTTGGCTGTGATGAAATCTACCAAGACAATAGCCTGCTAACCCTCACAGTCAAACCTCACAAATGTATAACCACACCCCAATGGAACAAAATAGATTGACGTAATAATCATAGGAATGTGGACTCACGTTTTGCATGGCTGTTTGCTCGTGACAAATTATGAGCAGCTTTGACCTGTAACTCTTGACTTTCGAGAATGGGAATGAATTTGCCCAAACTCATTTTGATTAAGACCTTCACAGAAATCAGAGAAGAGCTTTTTACCCATCACTCCACTCCATCTTGGGTTCAAACACAGGTCCGAGAAGTGAAAGGACAGTTTTCAACTCAGCGCACCATTCAATTCAATATTCCATATGGTCATAAAATACATCAATATTAAGGTCTCCTGATATGACAGCAGTTAAAACTGTTGCACCTCATAGTCACAGACTTTGCTATTTGAGGGCTTCTAGTGCGTACGCTGTGCCAAATGAGTCTTTCAGGCAGATGGAAGTAATAAATCATTTTCTGTAACACTATTATTATTGTACAATTATGGGCACAATTCCACTGTAAGAATGGAGATCTGAAAGGGAAGACATCAGAAATCCATACATTGCCCAATTCATATTGGTGGGACTAGATAGAATTTACATTTTTATAATGCAGCAACTTGAAACATCCCAACGTGTTTCACAGTAATTATCAATTACCTTAAGTGTATCACTAAATACTAATTGTGTGAGTAGAGGGAAGATTGCCCCTTGGATAATAACAATAATCCTTGCATTTGATACAGTACTTTTCACGTCATTGACATGATTTTACTGTCAAGCCGCAGTGACTATGTATTTGTAGGTAACCGCAGCAACCAATTTGACCACAACAATGTCCCACAAACAGCCACGAAGTGAACAATTAACTTAATCTGGGAAAATAAATCTGGGGGAGGACATAGCTTTATGCAAATCAATAATCACAATATATAATGTGTGATTTTCTTTTAAATCTTGTTAGATTTTTAAAACCATAGGTTACAGCAGATGACAATGAGATGTTCCCCATCGATATAAGCTTGCTATGGTAATCTTTCAGTCAGAGTAAAACTATCATAATAGACTGTGCTCCCAAGTTATTGTCTTTTGAATTCTGTCTGCATAACACAAAGTAGTCCTCTGATCTTCAGCAGGTCATGTAAGAATGCACCACATACATTCAAGCATTAATATCGCAGTGAAGCCAGCTGCACATTGCATTGTAACTCGCCATGAATTGTTGCTAGGTGCCCATAAATATATTAATAGCTAGGTCAAATTGGCCAGGCTGTAAAGAGAATTAATTTAGCAGTCTTTACCAAAATAAACGGGATTTTACAGGCACTTTAATCAATGAAAGAATTAATAATGCTGAAGTGATTAAACAAGAATAAATCTGCATATTATTTAATACTGCGGTGGTTGCTACTGCCAGAAACATATCCTAATCAATCTTTATTACTCTTTCATTGAGATTACACTTAATGTAACCAAAACGCCCTATGAATGGGATGACTTTTCTTGACCTAAATGCAAGATAGTAATTATAGTTCCCGCTACTCACAGAACTTGCTCTTATTTGAGTTAATTTTGAGATAATGCTCGACACTAACTAAGCATAAGGGGGTAGAGGAAGGGGAGAACTTGCTGCTATAAAACCCACCAGCATTCTCTGTGGTTCAGTAGATCACTTTATTGCTGCTGGCCATTTCTGCAGCGTCACTGCAGTGGATCAACATTGGTGCAAAGTGTGAGAATCAGGACAAATGATAACAGTCACAATATCTCTGTGCTGCGCACTCAATAATAACCTGACTACATAATCTCTGTCATCCCGATTTCATACTAGCTGACTTCTGTAAAATGAAATACAGTGAGAAAGCTAATAAAATACCGTATTAAAAGCGGGGTTATTGTTTATGCACTGTGTGCATCTTGCACTTTACCTACACCATAAAAGTCTGCAATGTTAAACTGCGTAGCCAGTAGATCATAATAAAGACATGATATTCCCAGTTGAAATAAATCACTATGGATCATTTTATTCTGGTCATACACACACACACTCAAATGATTGTGAAATGCAGGCCAGCCAAAGGTTCCACGTTAATGATAACATCTGCTTGAAGGGAATCTTCCAATGTTTCAGGGCACAGACTCACTCCACATACATTCACAGTGTCTGCTAGAATATTTCCATATTTCAATCCATATCCATACTACTGTATATATTCCTTGCAACAAAGGAGGGGCTTCAGGACACAGCCACTGTTTCACAGAGAGTAATAATATACGTTGGGAGGGGTTGAATAATGTTTGGAAGTGACTTAAATGTCTCCCTTATGTTTTAATGACCTTTATGACCCCATAATTGTCCCACAGCCCTGCAGTTCCTTCCTATGCAACCATTCACTGCCAGAAAGGAAAGGAAGGAGGGCGAGAAACGCCCTGAAATATGCAAACCCCCTGCAATACATTAAGCTGCATAAGTAAATAGCCATTTTCTGTTGGATGCAAACGTCAGATCCCGGTGGAACCCTGTGCACAGCTTCACTGAAGTTACCAGAGCACAGTCCAGACTGACTCCCGGACCAATACAGATCCACGTTGATGTCTCTTTGGAGACAGTATCCCGACAGCTGCGCGGGGACCATTGCCAGAGATTCCCAATCTGGGAGTTAACAGCCGCATCTGATCTCGGTGTGTGTGTGTGTGTGTGTGTGTTTAACCAGATGACAAATCCGCTCAGTCTGAAGCTGTTCCCCTTGTTTTGCGGAGTCCGCAGATGGAAACACCCTCTGGGCGATTCTCTGCAATGCTAACAACACAGAACTCCCATCGTGACCCCCCCCCCCCCCAACCCCCCCCCACCCACCAGCACCAGCACCACCCACAGCACCAACACCACAACACCAGCAGCACCAACACCACCAACAGCACCAACACCACCAGCAGCACCAACACCACCAGCACCAACACCACCACCACCAGCACCACCAGCAGCACCAGCAGCACCACCACCACCAGCAGCAGCACCAACACCACCAGCACCAACACCACCACCACCAGCACCACCAGCAGCACCAGCAGCACCACCACCACAGCACCACCAGCACCAGCACCACCCACAGCACCAACACCACAACACCAGCAGCACCAGCAGCACCAACACCACCAGCAGCACCAACACCACACCAGCACCAGCACCACCAACACCACCAGCAGCACCAACACCACCAGCAGCACCACCAGCACCAGCAGCACCAACACCACCAGCAGCAGCACCAACACCACCAGCAGCACCACCACCACCACCACCAGCACCACCACCACAGCACCACCAGCACCAGACACCGACCACCAGCCCCAAAAAAGAAGACTCGCAGAGAGAGAGAGAGGGAGAGTCAAAGTGACCAGCGCTGATCTCCCCACTCACTCACATCATGTACCAGTCTCTCTCCTTCACTCAGTCCTCTCTCCTTCCCTCCCTCTCTCCCTCTCCCTCCCTCCCTCTCCCCCCCCTCCCTCTCCCCCTCTCCCTCCCTCCCTCTCCCCCTCTCCCTCCCTCTCCCTCTCTCCCTCTCCCTCCCTCCCTCTCCCCCTCTCTGTGTGTACCAGTCAGTTGACAGGGCAGCATCCGCAACCATTTAGCAGCACAGTCAGCCCATCGCCAACCAGCCAGACCCTCACTCACAGAGAAACAGTCACCAACACACACACACACACAAACTCACCCAGAGCCTCGGTCCCTGCTGTAGAGCAGTGTTTCCTGCACGGATTTTGTTTTGCAAAAAAATATATAATAATAAAAAAAAAGGCTAAAGGCAGATCGCAGCAGATCTCTCACTCCGGTGGGACCTGTGGGGTCTGTGATAAACTGGGATTTCTCTTTCTCTCTCTCTCTCTCTCTCTCTCTCTCTCTCTCCCTCTCCTCCTCCTCTTCCAGTCCAGATCTTAGCGTTTTCCCCCAAAAACAATCCGACTTCAATGGGAATAGCAAGAAGTACTGACGTCAGCTTGTAACTGCATGTGTGGCCAATAGAGAGTGGAAAGGAGACAGATCTGAGCTGCCAGAGCCTGATCTCTGGAGTGAGGACAACCCTGTGCCCCTCAAGCACTGCCACTTTCGCATCAAGACCCAGCCCCAGCTTTGCATTTCTCTTTTTTTTTCTTCTTCAAAGTAACAGAAGCGGTTGACGTGATTCCGCATGGTTACGGACACTCACATCGCCGACGAGAGGAGGAATTCAGTCGCCGAAGGAGATCGCCAGCAAACCATTAGTTACGCTCTTGCGTCCTCGGGTCTCAGAGGGGGACGTTTTCGATACCTCGCCCAACTGACCATTCGTGTGTGCGTCTTGATGGTAATTGTTGGCGCGGAGGTATCGCAGTAGGGTAGCCTGGATCAGTTGGTAGCACTCTTGCCACTGAGTCAGAGGTTGTGGGTTTCAAGCCCCTGGTTAGGACTTTGAGCTCAGTGTCAGCACTGGGCGGGTATTCCATTATCAGAGGTGCTGTCCTTTGGATGAGATGTTAAACCGAGGTCCCCTCTGCCTTTTCGAGTGGATATGTAAGATCCCAGGGCACTATTTGGAAAAGAGAACCACTGAGCTCCTGGTCCCCAGGCTGCCATGTTGTCCACTACACCATTGGGGCTGCCCCATTTTCTCCCTAAAGTCAGCAGACTGAATCCAGTTGTCGCTTTGGTCACGCCCCAGCTGGCATTCAGCTATTATTATTATTATTATTATTCACAGACTAGGATTCCAGCATGCAACCTTCCACTTTGTGTGGCTCAGTGCTCACTCATTGTATGTCCTCAGTGTCCTCAGTTATACCATTCAAAATACACAGTCAATCCACTTTGTAATATATTCTTTGAAGTGCTTTGAGATGTCTCAACAATGTGATAAGGCGCTATTTATATCAAATCCAATTATTATTATTATTAATGGGCCGTGGTGCAACTGAATTGATTCTCTTATACAGAATTTGTGCTATTTATTATTATGCTGGAAAATGCAGACAGTGTCTTGTGTGCCTGCCATGTGGAACCATGGTTACGATTCTGCTTAAAGCTGAAGGAGGGAGCAGCACTACCATCAGTAGTCATGTAATGCTGTAGTACATTGCCTATACCCAGTGTAAAAAGATCACTGCCACTGATTGAATGTTAGATTGATGCCCTGTGTAATTGGTGTAATTAAAGTTCACTTGTTACAATGTTTGTTTCTTAACCACAAATGGCAGCTGTAGAACATTGTCTGAGACCCTGACACTCAAATATTCTTCTGCTATAGTAATCCTCCTTTACATTCGTGAGTAACTGAGTTCACTCAATACAGTGCTGACCTGCTGTCCAGCACTGATCTACTTACTAATACTGAAGGGCTGCCTGATACTAACCCGCCTTTAATACTGATCTGCTGTCTTGTACTGATCTGCTGTCTAATACTGACTTTCTACCTCACACTGACCTGCTCACTAATACTGACCTGCATTGTCAGAAGTGCCATTCTTCGGATAAGATGATAAACCTATCTGCCTGTTCAGGTGGGTGTTATCAAACCTATTTCACTATTCGAAAAGAGAAGGGAGTTTCTTCCAGTGTCCTGGCCAACAATCCACCAGAGGGAATTGATGAAGGATAAGAAATGGAGGAGGGAAGCCACAGGAAGGAAGTAGAGAGAAACATCCCAACAGGAGGGAGTGAGAGCAAGAATGATAATAGGTAATAACAGGCAAATAGTGCAAAATGTTTCTCTCACTCAGGACAGAAGGTTACAGGTTTAATCTCAGTCTTTGCTGAGTTGGCTGATCTCAACGAGGGCAACACTAATGGTGGTACAACTGGCTCCTAGGTCATTGGGTTTAGGTGCTGAAAGTAAGCCAGGAGGAGTTCAGTCTCCTGATCGCACTTTAGAAATCACTGTTGGAAGGTGAGCCTGTGTGAGCATTAGGGTCAGGTTCGATCATACAGAAACGTGCCTGGCACACATGACATGGAACCTCAGTAGAAAGAAAAAGGGAACAAAAGATTTCAAAAGAGGAAAAGCAGGGGAGAAAACTAACGGGTCCATTAGTACTAAATTACCAAGCTGCACATTGTGGCAGCATGATTGCCAACCTGTCTCAGGTGCTGGTTCTCTGGTGCTGACTCCCAGCTAACCTTCACTAATCTCTCCAGGCTCTCGCTGACAAACTGTGCACTTATTATATTTCAGCATTTCAACATAGAATAACTGTTATTTGACTGTTTAGATGCAGATGTTACTAAAGTCCTTTAATGTTTCAGTCTGCAGCAGGCAGTGTCAATAAGCCAGCCTACACAAAAGCAGCTTCAGCCTTCAGCAAGGTTTTCACTGGAAAATAAAATGTGCTTCCTAGAAGCAATTGATTTTTTGTTAGCTTTATTCACCATGAACTAATAACACAAGCCAGACATTCTACATAACATTAGTTTCTCATCATGAGTGCACAATGGTGAAATAATATCTTGTTTTATTGGTCCAAAGATGCTGTTTTTATAAGGTTAGCAGAAAGGAAGATCGGCACAGCATTCTCTGCTTACACAGACCAACTTTCCAAAACTATTTCAATGTAAGTTGTAAAAATGGTCACGATTTTATTATCCACAAACACTTAAGGCTCTGCAGCATGAAAATGGGTTCATAAAAAGGGTAAAAGAAAATTTCTCCTTTTGTCCTTATTCCTTTCCTGGTATCCCTTTGTTACTTTCAATACTGGAGTCTTTTAGGGGGGGGCCACAGCCAACATTGGACAGGCAAAGGAATGTGTGGTTGGAGGTAATGTGACAGGTCAGTATTTGCAGGGTCTCCAGCTTTCCAGCTTTTTGAGATCAGAGTCCCTTTCATTGAGCCAAAGGCAAATGCGAAGGTAAGATGAACAGAACAGGACGATGTTTAGGAGTTCATGTTCTAACACACAACAACAACAAATTACATTTATATCGCGCCTTTCACTGCAGGAGGACGTCCCAAGGCACTGGACAATCAAGGGTTAGCACCGAAGCTGGGGGTTGGAATCAAGAGGGGCAAAGGGTAAGGGGTAGGGATGGGAGATTAACTGAAGTCACAGTCAAAGAGGAAAGTCTTGAGATAGGCTTTCAAGGAGGCAAGGGAGAAGACAAGATGAATGGATTCCCGGAGGGGTTTCCACAGGGTAGGGACAGAAACATCGAAGGTCCGACTACCAATGGTAGGGCAGTTAGGGCAGGGGACATGGAGCAGGCTGAGCAGACGGAGCATGCAGGTGGTAAGATTTTAGCAGGTTGCAGAGATAGGGAGGGACAAGACCATGGAGAGCTTTAAAAGTAAGGGAGAGGATTTTAAATTCAATCCTCTGGGGGATGGGGAGCCAGTGGAATAACATCTTGCACCTACATCTTGCATTTGTCCCTAAAATGAGGCAGAACCATGGAGAAATTGATGTGCATACTTTTTACTTTTTTCTCAGAGAAAGATAGCAACACCAGCAACAATTTGCATTTATATAGTGCCCCTTACGCAGGGTAGTGTCCCAGACCGCTTGACAATGGCAGAGCATGACACTTAGCCAGGAGGTGACCGTAGGCACGGTTGAACAGGAAAATCCTCAGGAGCAATCTTTAGATGGGAAGGAAGGGGCAAGATGGAGGGATAGATGAAGAGTATTCCAGAGTTTAGGGGTGTAGTGGCTGAAAGCGTGGCCACCATTGGTGGAACGGAGGGTTCAAGGGACATGCAGAAGGCCAGAGCCAGTCAAACGGAGGCAGCGGGTTGTGGGTTGGGGGTAAGCAAGTCTGAGAGGTAGGGAGGTGCCAGGGCATGAAGGGATTTGAAAATGAGTGTGAGGATCTTGAAACCGATCCATTTGGTGATAGGGAGCCAGTGGAGCCTGGCTAGAACTGATGTGATGGGGGTACAGTGCACATCTGCAGCTGACATGGATGTGTGTGTGTGTGCGCACACAACGGCTGACGATAGCAGAGCAGGTCACAGCTCCACTCCACCAGCATCACAATGTCTTGTTAAGAGTTTCTTCTGGCACTGCCTGTATCACGCTGAGCTCAGCAGAAAGGAACCCTGATCTACCATTCTTCCCTTCGGTGTTCATTTCCCCTACTTTCCATCCTGTCAGCCCTATTTCTCCCTCATCTCTCGCCTCCCCGGCAAGCACCTTGGGAAGTCCTCCCGACATGAAAGGCGCTGTACAAATGTAATTTTGTTGTTGTTGTTCTTCCTCATCTCCTGCATGAAAACCACCAGCAGTTCCCTTGACTCCCTTTACACAGCAGCAGGGATCAGCAGACCTAGAACAGGCAGACTGAGACAAGGGGAGAATTTACAAGAAACAATCTCGTACACAACAAGAAAACCATTGAAGAAAATGTAAGATACATTTCGCTGAAGCAAAACTACTGCATTGGGTGGTGATGCTGAGGTGACCTTGATCCTTTGAGGAAATGTCAGGTCAGGGTTCTTTCTGCTGAGCTCAGTGTGATACAGGCAGCGCTAGAAGAAACACAAAGAAGTGATCAATGGAGAGAATAAAGAGATCCATAAGTAGATAGCCTCTGGTTGATTCGGATCAGCTGCTCATTTCATTATGTTTTATTTTTTCTGGGTGAAGTAAGCCAACAATAATCGGAATAAATACCGGATCACTATAAATAAGTAATGATGGACTTGAACACAAGAAAACAACAGTAACAACAAATTGCATTAATATAGCGCCTTTCACATAGGGACGTAATCTAGACATGAATAATTTGCACATAGAGACGGCAAGAGAATGCCTTGGGATGTCCTTCAGGATCATCGGACGTCCTCCCAACCTGAAAGGCGCTGGACAGATGTAACTTATTGTTGTTTTTGCAGGTACCACCTCCAGTGCAGCAAACAATGAATGGTGAGGGCCGGAGGTTATCATTTTTTTGTTCAGCCAGGCATTTGACACATGCAAAAACCCATCATCCAGTTTAAAAGCATCAAACCAAACTGATATTTACACGCATCCCACCTATACATCGAAATTCTTGAGATGTGTA